CATTAAATGAGACCTCTCTCAACTCTACATGACCTTTCTTTGCAAAGTTATAGAATTTACAAGAAAAGCCCTAAATTAATATCTTCTGATTTCTGTAGCTTTCAGCTGACAATGAGTATTTAGGGCTTTTCTTGTAAATTCTATAACTTTGCAAAGAAAGGTCATGTAGAGTTGAGAGAGGTCTCATTTAATGAGAAATGTGCGGGCTATAAGCATGACTCATTAAGAAAAGCTTTGGTTGTTTTCCAGAGTTTCTGAAAAACTGGTTTTCCAGAAAAACGGGTCGTAGAAGCCATAAGGGCAGCTCTCATAGTCATAGTTAGACTGAAGTGAAGTGAGTTTAGACTGAAGTGAAGTGAGTTTAGACTGAAGTGAGTGAAGTGAAGTGAAGTGGAGAAGTGGTGCTTTTACCCCGTTGGGTTGCTATCATTGTCATGGATTAATCATATCAACTCCTATCTGAAATATACAAATAACAGAACATAGCGTCCTCTATAAATCCTCACCCTCACCTCCAAAACACATATGAGGTTTTGGCCATGCTCTATCACATGGAAATGTTTGTTTCGAGAAGGAAATTCAAAAACGTAGTGAATATCTGTACTAAGCGAAATAACCCATTTTTGAACATTTTTTACCAAAAGTTAAAAAAAACAATAACTCAGCCACAATCAATCTAAACTGTTCTAAAATTATCGCTCGCGGTAAGCTTTCTTTCGTCTTGAAAAGGTTCTGATCGCGGAATAAGTGAGTCGAGGATATGAGGATGAAGTGAAAGTTAATTTCCATCTCTATTGTTTCACTTAGCACCCCTCTCCGTTGTTGTATTAGACAGCTGAATTTTCCTTACATTACTTTCAATTTTTTATATGAAAGACAAAAGAAAATACAAATTATGCCTTCCAGCAAAACGAAAGCCCGTATTCTCGTTCATATGATCAATAGGTAAAAAAGAACTAGAGTCGATGAAAACTACATTTTCGGTTAGAAGATAGTCGATTGTATATATATATATATCTAATTTGGCTCGGAGTACTGCCAGTCCAGGAGACAACAAGGTTTTGGAAAGTTTTTAAGGGAAAGAAACCAAAAAATATACTGACTAGAGCAGGAACTGAACCCACACAGTAAGAATCTTTTCTTTTCACTGAGCTATCGACTTTATACTTTTCTGTCGTCCTTTCCTTAGTCTATCTGAATGCTGCGGAGAAAATAAATCCTCATTATTTACATTTTGCAAGGGTCTTCCAGAAACATGTGCAAAACATTTACTTAATCTAGAAAGAATTTTAAGTCCACTTAAATTTTGTATTCTGATGACGGAGACTAAATAGAACTTTAACTTTGCTGAATATGTCTTTTTGTCTCTAAAAGAAAAAGTGTACGTGGATGGATACCTAGGACCTCGAAAACGGCGTAATTAATTGTCTATTAAAAACCCAAATCAATAGCTAATGAAATAGGCATTATGTGGCATTTTTAGACAATTGATAAGAATCTTATCAGTTTTATCGAAAAACTTTTGTCTAGGGAAAGAGTCTTCGGTGAAACAGAAGTAGGAATGCATAATAGAAAACTGAATAATTCACTTCATTATCAAGGAATTTTTATTTAAATATATACGTTAAATAGACGTCAGCAAGAACTCTATCCTATAAGTCGCTCGTGCACTTGCATTAAAGCGCAACTTTGGATTCTTATTTGGGCCCATTTACAGCCCTTATTAGTCATAAAAGACAGAAAAATTGTGATGTCAAACAGTATGAGTTTATCCTGGACGTTGCACTGGAGTTTTAAATCAAAGTTTGACTTTATAATATCTCTATATGATCAAGGGAACAATGGACTGAATGCACAATGATTTCGGTAGTAAAAAGAAAAAGAAAACTTTCACTCACGTACGAGAAATCGTTCGTTCTGTTCCAAAATGAACAACAGCTGGAAAAGATATGACAGCTGAACATATCCATATGAATGACAACATATAGTACCATCTTTTTGACATGAATGAATTAGGATATTGAATTGGTCTTGTAATTGCCATATAGCGATCTAATCCGATAACACATAATCCAAATATTGATGCTGTTGATGCAAATATATCCACTGAATGCCAAAAATCACATAAAAATCTCAGATGATGTTGAAATAACCAATATTCATCATCAGTCATTTCAAAGATAAATGCAAATGGCATAACTATTAATCCAACTAATAGGTCAGCAAATGCCAATGATGCAACATAATAATATGTCGATGTATGTAATGTACATTCATGAATTACAGTATATATAACTAATATATTACCTAATACAGTTAATAAACATAACAACAACAGAATAAGCCCAATCGGATATGTTTGCCATCGGACGTCTGTTATTGTTATGTTGGTAGTTAATGAAAAAAATTCCATAACAATAAGCAATCAAATGTTTATTCCTCTTGTTAAGGCGAACGTAGCTCTTATATAGATTTCTCCCCTTCTAACGTTCAATCTATACGAAATATTAAAAATGGCAATAAAAGATCAAATAAAGCATTTTCAATGAAGGTATTCTATAATTCCACGCTATTTTAGTAATATAGTTACGTAAATATTTAATCCAAACCAACGTAGCTCTTGATAAGAGTGCTGTACTGAAACGCTTATTTACATCTAATGTGTTTAATATGTACACATCTTTTAATATTCTGCTGTTCTACAAAAGAATAATATTCGTTTACTCTAAGCGAAGGCCAATTTAAGAGACTCACGTTACTCTTTCATTAAACAGACAAATCAACACCTTGTTGAATAACGCAGAAGAAGAGAAGTAGAAAAAAGAGAAAGGCATCGTTTATCTTAGAATAATTACATGCATTCTTTTCAAGAGACAACAGAAAAAACGACAATGTAAGATACTAACATAAACAAATAAGAATTTGTCAGCATATTAAATCACCACATTCATCTGTACTCAACATTGTCAAACGAGTGAAAATCATAGCGTTGTAAATCTTTCTATAAAAGTTAGTGAAAGAACCGCTGATAGCATACTGTTAAAGTGGATCGTAGTCATTTTTGAAATTTATTGTTGAGAAGATCTTTCTTTTGTACAGTATCTTATAATTACGGGTAGCACATTACTGCTACTGTTACCAGTGATATAAATATTACTGGTAACAATAATCTTCCATGTATTCCTATTCCCAGCAACAGTAATACTTTACTTTCAGTATTACTGTTGCTAATAGGACTAAGTATATTTAATGTAATTGAAAAATATTTTGGTATTTTACAAATGTTTTTCAATTATATTAA